CCGTCGTTGTTTGGCAGGCCCAGGCTGGATTTGAACCTACCAGCTCAGGTGCATATGGCTGGCACCTTAGCCATTTGAGCTACAGGCGCCGAGCTGAGTTTCCCTCTTTCATGTTAAAATAATTCCATACTTATTCTTCACAATATAATGAAGCAAAGTAGGTTTTGTGAGGGCAGAATGTATTTTAAAGGACATAGTCTAAGTCATTATTTTTAGTTTTCAGTCCTGTTTTACATATTTAAGTAATGACTACTATATTATCATTATCAGCGTGGAGTTAGCAGGTATTAATCAACTTTAATGGCCAATCCAGTACTTTAAACTTGTATTTGGATATTATTACTCAAAGCAGCTATTTTATGTCATTTTTTTTGGTTACTGCTGTAAGTAAATACAGAAATTCACAGAACCTGATTCCCTGATGAGAAATACCAGACTTTTAAATTTGCAAATTTGTATAAATGGGTCATATTTCATACAGAAGGTCCTGAAGACAAAAGACTTCCAGTCTTTCTCTGAATTGTTCCTTATTTTAACTGTTATATGTATGTTAGGTAGTATTTAATCTTAATTCAGAAATATAAGTAAAATAAACACACTCATTTGATTTTAAAAAGATTTAGGAACTAAAACGGCCCAGGTTTTATTCCTCGTCCTTTTAGTAATAGCCGTGTGAATTCAAACAGCTCTTTTCACCTCTATTTCAGTTTCATTATTTATGAAATAGGAATAATTGTGTCCACCTTACAATATAGTTATACTTGTTAATATAAGAAACTGTAGGTTGATAACATCTGACTAATATGATAAGTGGCTCTGTAAGTGCTAGTCAGGTGAGTGAATGGATGTGTACATCTGTAAAAAGGGAAGGGAGAAACAGATCAGGGAAGAATAAGCTCAGCAAAGAAAAGGGGAACTTGCCATTTCTGTTGGTGAAGGTCAGTTAAAAACATGTAGTTATTGGGCAGCACCTGTGGCTCAAAGGAGTAGGGCACTGGCCTCATATGCCGGAGGTGGCAGGTTCAAATCCAGCCCCGGTCAAAAACTGCAAAAAACAAAACAAACAAACAAAAAACCATGTAATTATTTAATGTGAGTACACACGATGAACTAGAAAATGTGAGCTGCTTTAATTTATTAAATGTGCTTTATTTTGATTATTTTCAGGCAGAAAAGGCTAGCTTGGTCCATTTACTGGATTTCCTAGGTATGATTTTTCTCACGATGATTTGGGCCATTTGTCCTCGAGACAGTTTGGCACTTTTGGGCCAGTGGATACAGTCTAAACTGCAGGAGGTAAGTCGGACACAATAACTGGAATTTATAATTGGTTCTGGTGAGGATGTTTTAATACTGTAAAACAACAAATATCAAAGATATTTTCGTATTTATCATGAATTATGGGTACTGAGTTTTAGTGTCCTCTGTTTTCTCATTTTTAGGGGATATTCTTATATATGAACGTTTAAAGAATACTGTATCTCTTCAAATGGTGGATATGGGTGGGTTAGAAGGAGTTGGCAACTTTTGGCTAATATCATTTTCTTAAGTGTGGTTATTGGTCTTATAGAGAGAAACCGTAGTCACTGATCCTTCCTTTCATTCTGGCCGTGGTCTGTATGTACTAAGTTAATGATCCCCGCTTTTCTCCAAATATAGACATGCCTCAGTGGCAGTGGGGGATTGGTTCCAAGAACTTCCATGGATACCAAAGTCTGAGTGTGCTCACAGCCCAGATAAAAAAACAGCATAGCATTTGCTTGTAATCAATACACGTCATCCTATGTATTTTAAATCATCTCTAGATTACTTACAATACCTAATACGATGCAAATATTATATAAACAACTATTATGCTGTATTGTTTTTAACATTTGTTATATTCTTGTTTTTTTACTTTTTGAATATTTTACATCCTTGGTTGAGCCCACAGACTCAGAGGGCCAATTGTATTTGTATTTTGATAGGGTATTTTGAGTCCCTCATTTAGTTCAAAGCACTGCACTCGGTCTTGCAGTCTTCATAACTGCATTGTTAACCATGATTAATCATTTTATTTTGCATCTTTCTTCAGATATTTCCTCTTTTCCTGGGAGGTTTGCTTGTTTAGCAACAATCTGTTATTTGTTTATTTAATGATTTGTGGAGCACCCATCCCAGGGCCATCTGGGTGCTGTTTAAATCTAATGTGTACAATTCTTTGAGACAAATTGCTTTTGAGATTGAATAACTAGTCAGTATTATAATTCGGGTTCCTTTATGTTGAAGTAAAGGTTCTTAGAAGAAGAAGAAATGATTATTGCTAAGGTTATAGGACCTCCTATTTTGAATTTTGTTTTTGTCACTGACCTGCTGGGAAGTCAAAGGAATTAATGTAGTTGTTGTCTCCATCTCTCTATAGATTGCCTTTTCTGTAAAGGGGTCAAGATTTGGTCATAAGAAAGATAACATGGGCCGGGCACAGTGGCTCCCAGCCTGTAATCCTAGCACTCTGGGAGGCCCAGCTGGGTCGATTGCTTGAGCTCAGGAGTTTGACACCAGCCTAAGCAAGAGCGAGACCCTATCTCTACTAAAGATAGAAAAACTGAGGCAAGAGTATTGTTTGCTGTGAGCTATGACATCATGGCACTCTACCCAGGGTGACAGCTTGAGACTCTGTCTCAAAAAAAAAAAAGAAAAGAAAGAAAGATAATGTGCATCTCTTTCTCCTTTGAAATACTTGATAAATGCTGCCATTTTGGTATAGTTTTTCAATTTAATAATAAGGCTAAAAATAGGGATGACTTCAATATGCATTCTTTTTCACTAATCAAGGCCCTCAATAATTTGGGTGACAAGATGTTTTGCCTTCGATAAAGCCTTGCTTGCTGCTCTTGGAGAGCAGAGGGGAATGCAGGTAGTAAAATCATTCCGGAGTGGAACTGCTGATAGCCATCTGCCAGTCATTTGTTGTGAGACCTGAATGATAGGGTTACGGCAGGATTTCTTAACATCAGCACCATCGATGTTTTGGGCTGGGTAACTCTTTGTTGTGGGGAGTTGTTCTGTGCATAGACTGTTCAGTAGTTTAGTAGCATGTATGGCCTCTACGCACTGGATGAGTCTTTTCTCACAGCGCCCTTGAACCAGTCTGTCCTTAAACTTCCACGGCACACTTAAATTATGTTGATCAACAAAAAGAGAAAAAAAAAAAAAAAGAAAAGATACACTGTGCTTTGGATTTCTTTCAAAAATAATTTGATTAATGATCTTAAAATTTTTGTGGCACACCTAAGATCGTCTCATAGCATACTGGTTGACAATCACTGGACTAGATGCTGATATTCTTCCTCCCTTGAGTTGTGACAATCAAAAATACCTCCAAATGTTTATAAATGTCCCAGGAGACAAAATCAGGCCTGGCTGAGAACCCTGATTTAGCACATTTGGCTAGTCCCTGGCGTGAAGAAGGGGGAGTCACCGTTACCATTTGTTCCCTTACTCCTTTCTGCAAGTCTAGGAGGTTGGCGCTGTTACAAGTTTCATTCTGCATATCATACTACTGGCAGGGGGGTTGAACAATTAGTTCCTTTAACTTAAGTTATTCACCAAACCATTTCTTTATTTCTTTTTTTTATTGAGACAGAATTTCACTTTGTCACACTCCATAGGTGCTGTGGTGGCATAGCTCACAGCAACCTCAAACTCTAGGGCTCAAGAGATTCTCTTGCTTCAGTCTCCCAAGTAGCTGGGATTATAGGTGCCTATCACATCACCTGGCTAATTTTAGAGATGGGATCTTACTCTTGCTCAGGCTGGTCTCCAACGCCAGAGCTCAGACAATCTACCTGCCTCATTCTCCCGGAGTTCTAGGGTTATAGGTGTGAGCCACTGCACTGTCCTTCAAGTCCAAGTTTTTCATCAGTATACTGTCAGTAGACTTGATGGAGACTTCTCATGGAGATAGCAGACAGTGCAGGATGCACTCATCAACCTGAAACGAATGTGATTGACAAGGACGAAAGTCCTATTTCCTGGTCACACATACGTGCACCTACTGGTCACATACTACGGATCAGATCGATTGCATTCTTTCTAGCTGTCATAAACATGTCACTACCTTAGGAAGATCATTTCCCCAGTTAACAGCTCTTTTCTTAAAAGTCCTGCCTATTTATGCATCCTTTATAAAGTTTTAGTGCTTAATGGAAATTAGAATTTAACTGGAAAGCATTCACATAAATAGAATTAAGAAAACTAAAGTTATGGTATCTATTTGCATTTTTTTATTGAAGTTGGAAGAAACTTACTTTCTTCCAACTAGTCAATACTTAGAAAAGAAGGAAATTAAGATAATTTATCAAAGAAAGAGCGTGCTGCTATGTAGTTAATTTTCTTACTGAAATAAACCCTCTAGTTGTGTCACCAGCTATTACATAAGTATGTTTTCTCAATTTTCTTTTAAAACTGCAAGACCAAAATATTCCTTGACCATGTGTATTAAAAGCCCCGCACCAATAAACTTGGGAAACTGCAGCTCAGTATGTGGGAATTGTAATAGGAAAAAGCAGAAGAAAACTACTTACGATACTACAAACTGTCTGGAAATGTATAGGCATGACTTTTTCTGTTCTTTCCATGTTTAAAAGTATTAATCTCTAGGGATGAAATAAAGGCTGTGTTTAAGTTTTATGCCATAATGCTTCTCTAAATGTTAATCAGAAAGAATATAAAAAATTTTATCCTAGATACGCCGTCAAATTGATTTTACAAAGTCTTAGTTGTTCCTTTGGTTGTGATTAAGTTGCCTCACTGGAGTTTTCTATCCTGTTTCTTCTCAGTATATGTTTCACAGACCGTACGGTAGAACGCTGGAGGCGGAGGCTGACAAAATCGGACTGCAGCTCGCGGCCAAGGTAAGTGCTCGGAGTTAGGAATACGGTGTTCTTTACGTAGTCAAGATGAATGTTTGGTGTGAGCACAGACTGAGTTGGGCTGGGCTCGCCTTTGTACGATTTCTGTTAATCTGTAGAAGTTTGAAGATTATGGACCTTGAAAGAATGCATCCCTAAAGAAACGCACTTCACTCCCTTCTGTACGGGAGGGTGTATTATGTCTTGGGACAGTGGTTCTCAACCTTCCTAATGCCACGGCCCTTTAATATAGTTCCTGTGGGTCGCGACCCTCTGTCTTAGACTATATAAGATTATAGTCTTATATATTAATTATATATAAGATTATATATAATCTTAGACTTATATAAGATTATAGTCTATATATATTAATTATTAGGTTATATTTTAAAAGTCTTAATCTTTTATTGGAAAGGATTTTTTGCATGTATGAATTTTTTGATCATAGACACTAAATACATAAATCAATAAAAAACATGGTCATATAATGTGTCATCCTACTGCCCAGTCTTCTCATTTTTATTTATTTTTAATGTCTTTGAGACAGTGTCTACTTTGTCACCCTTGGTAGAGTACTGTGGCGTCACAGCTCATGGCCACCTCAGACTCTTGGGCTTAAGTGATTCTCTTGCCTCAGCCTTCCAAGTAGCTGGGACTACAGGTGCCCACCACAACGCCTGGCTATTTTTTGTTGCAGTTGTCATTGTTGTTTAGCTGGCCTGGGGTGGTATCGAACCCTCCACCCTCAGGTGTATGTGGCCGGTGTGATAACCACTGTGCTATGGGCGCCGAGCCAGTCTTTTTAAATTTGTGCCTTCTGGAAAGCTAATGCCTTTATTCCTGAGGAGATTTTTTAGTAAATAAAATGTAACTGTTTTCTCCCACTTGGACAAAGGTTAATCCTATTGCAGTTATAATCCTGGCTGAGCAAATTGAGTTTCTACCATTTAAATAAAAAGTAAGAGCATAGGTTTTTAGGTTATTTTTGTTGTAGCAGATGACATTGTTTTTTTTTTAGTCAGCCACAGAGAACGGCTCTGGACATTTAATTTGGTTTTGTTCCAGATCCTCTGTATTCTTGATTATTTCCCCCCCTTTTTTTGTTACTGAGAGAGTCTCGTTATGGTTGTAGATTTTTTTTTTTTTCCTTTTAGTTCCATCAATTTTTGCTTTGTATATCGTAAGATGATTTTTGTATACCTATCTGGAGTTCTTATGTGTTCCTGGTGGATTGATCCTTTTATTAGTATTAAATCACTCTTTGTCTCTATAATACTTCTTGCCGGTCTCATCTCTCTGTTGGTTAGTGCCCTTATGGCTTATATCCCTTGGAAGCAGGACATAGTCATTTGGGTTATTTAAATTCCTTGTCCTTTTGGGAGTATGTTTACTCTATGTGTTTAATTTACATTTCTTATTGACTAATGATGTGGAGCATATTTCATATATGTGTTGGTCTTTCTTTCATTTTCCTTTGTGAATTGTCTTTTCAGATATTTTGTCCATTTTTTTTTTATTAAATCATAGCTGTGGGCTCGGCGCCTGTGGCTCAAGTGGCTAAGGCGCCAGCCACATATACCTGAGGTGGCGGGTTCGAATCCAGCCCGGCCCGCCAAAACAACAATGATGGCTGCAACCAAAAAAAAAAAAAAATAGCCGGGCCTTGTGGCGGGTGTCTGTGGTCCCAGCTACTTGGGAGGCTGAGGCAGGAGACTTGCTTGAGCCCAGGAGTTGGAGGTTGCTGTGAGCTGTGATGCCATGGCACTCTACCCAGGGGATAGCTTAAGGCTCTGTCTCAAAAAACAAAAAAAGCAAAAAAACAAAACAAAAAAATTCATAGCTGTGTATATTAATGCAGTCATGGGGTGCAATGTGCTGGTTTTATATACAATTTGAAATATTTTCATCAAACTGGTTAACATAGCCTTCATAGCATTATTGTGTTAAGACATTTATATTCTACATTTAGTAAGTTTCGCATGTACCCTTGTAAGATGCACCGTAGGTGTGGTCCCACCAATTACCCTCCCTTCACTCATCCTCCTCCCTCCTCTCCCCTCCCTTTCCCCATATTCTTGGGCTATAATTGGGTTATAGCTCTCATATGAAAGCTATATATTAGTTTCATAGTAGGTCTAAGTACATTGGATACTTTTTCTTCCATTCTTGAGATACTTTGCTAAGAAGAATATGTTCCAGCTCCATCCATATAAATATGAAAGAGGTAAAGTCTCCATCTTTCTTTAAGGCTGCATAATATTCCATGGTGTACATATACTACAATTTATTGATCCATTGGTGAGTTGATGGGCACTTGGGCTTCTTCCATGACTTAGCAATTATGAATTGGGCTGCAGTAAACATTCTGGTACAAATATCTTTGTTATAGTGTGATCTTTGGTCTTCTGGATATATACCTAGTAGAGGAATTGTAGGATCGAATGGCAGGTCTATTTTTAGTTCTCTAAATGTTCTCCAAACATGTTTCCAAAAGGAACATATTAGTTTGCCTTCCCACCAGCAGAGTAGAAGTGTTCCCTTTATTTTGTCCATTTTTTTAAAAATTTTTTTTTATTTCAACTTTATTACTTTGAAGGTTTTTTTTTTTTAATTTTTTTTTTTTAATTACTTCTTCCTCCTGTAGTGTTTTCTTGCCCCCCATGGAGCTGGAATCACAAGGTCCGGCTGTCTCGTTGTCCTGTTGTTGTTGTAGAGACGGGGTCTCACTCTGGCTCGTTTGGCTCAGGGGGGTCTTGGCTGGTCTCGAACCTCTGAGCACAGGTGATCCACCCACCTCGGCCTCCCATAGCGCTGGGACTACAGGTGTGCGCCACCACGCCCGGCCTATTTTGTCCATTTTTAAACTGAATCATTTGTCTTCTCATTTTTGAGCTGTAAAAGTTTATACATGTTGGGTGCAAGTCCTTTGTCAGATGTGTGTATTGCAAACATTTTCTCTCATTCTATGGCTATTTTATTTTTTAAATGATTTTTTTTTCTTTTTGAGAAATTAGAATCTTACTTAGCTAGAGTGCTATTAGAATCTTACATAGCTAGAGTGCTATGGTCTCAGCCCAACTCAGAGCAACCTTAATCTCCTGGGCTCAAGGAATCTTCCTGCCTCAGCCTCCTGGGTAGCACAGGCTACGGGAGCCTGCCACAATGCCGAAATTTTTTCCATGAGCCACTGTCTCTGGCCTTAATGGTGTATTTTGAGTAACAACAATTTAAATTTTGATGAAGTGTAATTTTTCTACTTTAAGCAGTTAAAGCTGTACATTTCCTATTGCTTATTACTTTAACTGCATCCACAGATTTTGATATGTTGTGCGTTATTTTTATTTAAGTCTGAATGTTTTCAAATTTTCTTTGATTTCTTTGTCCGGTTTCCAGGATTCCCAAATGAATCCTGTATATGATTCATTTAATATACAGATGTTTGGGATTTGTCTGATGTTTTCTTGTTTATTTCTAATTTAATTTCTTTGCGGTCAGAGAACATACTGTGTAGGATTTCAGTCTTTTAAAATCTGCTGAGACTTGCTTTACGATGCAGCATTTGGTCTGTCTTATGGTTGCATCCCTTGAAAACACCATATTCTGTGATGTGTGTGTTTTGTGTATGTCAGTTACATTACGGTGGTTTATAGTGTCATTCAGATCTACAGCCTTCTGATTTTTTTTCTGCTTGACTACTTGTAATTGAGAAAGGTGATTTGAAATCTTTAACTATAATTGTAGATTCACCTGTTTTTCCTTCTAGTCTATTAGTTTTTGTTTCATGTGTTTTGAAGCTCTGTATTAGGTGCATGCACATTTTGTGGCAGTATTTTTTTCTTATTGCTCGATCTTTATGACATATCCCTCTTTGCTTTTTCTTTTTTTTTTTTTTGCAGTTTTTTCCAGGGCCGGGTTTGAACCCGTCACCTCCTGTATATGGGGCCAGTGCTCCACTCTCTGTTGTCTTTTTTGTTTGTTTGTTTGAGACAGAGCCTCAAGCTATCCCCCTGGGCAGAGTGCCGTGGCATCACAGCTCACAGCAACCTCCAACTCCTGGGCTCTAGTGAGTCTCCTGCCTCTGCCTCCCAAGTAGCTGGGACCACAGGCGCCCACCACAATGCCCGGCTATTTTTTGGTTGCAGCCGTCATTGTTGTTTGGTGGGCCCGGGCTGGGGATTCGAACCCGCCACCTTAGGTGTATGTGGCTGGCGCCTTAGCCACTTGAGTTATAGGCGCTGAGCCTCTCTCTGTTGTCTTAAAGTCAGTTTTATTTGACATTAACTTAGCCACTCCTGCTTTCTTACGTATTACTGTTCACTTGATATATTTTTCTACCTATTTATCTTCAGCTTCTTGAATTTTTGTATTTGAAGTACATCTCTTACAGACAGTATATACTGGGTTCTTTTTTATTTAGTCTGACAGTCTCTGCATTTAGCTTCAAGTGCATCATCCATTTGTATTTATTTTAATTATTGCTCTGGTTGTGTTTAGGTCTGCCAAATTCCTATTTGTTTTTTATTTGTCTTATGTACTTTTTTTTTTCTGTTTGTCCTTTTTTGCCTATTGAGTTAATCAAATTTTTTTTGTATTTTATTTTACTTCCTTCTTTGGCTTTCTAGCTATAATAGCTCTCTGCATTATTTTTTAAGGGTTCCTCTTAGAATTACAATATTCATCTTTAACTTAACCCAAACTATCTGAGGTTAATATTGAATAGTTTCTGGTAAAATGTAAGAACCTTACAATGGTAAATTTGGCAGTTATCAAGGATTTAGGCACAGATGGAGCTTACCCTCATTATTTCCTTGCTTCTGAGGATTTTATCTAAATTTCCAGCTGTGCTACTGACTTGAGATTCCGTCCACTGAAACTTCATGACCAGGAGGCTTCAACTTTTTGTTACCCAGGTTGAGGCCTACACCAAGTTTAAAAAAAAAGAAAGCAACAGACTCACAGATCTGGTCCCCAGTGTCTCTGTCTTTTAAGAGCAGATTTCTCTG